AATTGAAGGAGGCTGAAGTGGGTGTGTAGCGACATTCCTGATATTGAAGTGGAGATGAAAGAAGTGTGCTACTTTTTTAATTCAAAGAGATTTATATTCTTCTTTCATAATTCCATTGGACAATCAAGATAACTTTTTTAAGTCTTGGCTGGATTTAAATATTAGTTGCTTTCACCCTTTCATTGGATGAAGATGTTCATAGATAGTCCAGGTACAATCATGAATATTCACTTTGTTAATGTAAATGCAACAAGAATTGTAACTGTGTTGTGGAGGGAAATCTCAGAACATCTTTTAAGTTTAGAGTTTTAATTCTTATATTCATTACATTTTCTGAAATACTCTTTGGTTTAATTAGGCTTTCACTAGAGTTGAAGTTTTGTTCATATAAGTCCTGACCCCTTATGTCATCTACAAAAATAATTTATTAGCTTTCACAATAGTCTCTTCAAACGTGCATAATTTTCAAAGAGAGTCTTTTACACCTATATGCAGACAATGCCTTAGACACTATGGGTACATCTAGACTACAAGCCTCTTTCGACAGAGGCTTTTTAGAAAGTATTTTTTGAAAAAGCTTCTTTCAAAAAAGAGCGTTTAGACTGCACTAAGCAGATTGAAAAATCGATCCGCTTTTTCGAGAGAGAGCGTCCAGACTGCCTGTACGCTCTGTCGAAAAAAGGGCACCTGGAAGCATTTCTGCCAGGACATGAGGGTAGCCTTTATTTCCGGGTCCTGCAGCATGCTCTTTGCAGAGACGCGTGCTTTAAGGGATCCTCCTGAACAGCCATTCCTCTGCTCCTGCAGCTGGATTGACTACCTCCTAGAGGGACAGCAAAGCTTCTGCAGTGCTTGCTTGGAGTGCCCTGCTTTGTGGGACACCATAGCATTTGGTTTCCTGGTTGGTTTTTGTGCTTTCAATAATTTTTTTGCCATGGAGCTGGAGCTGCCCCTGGGCAGGCGATGGCCCCACACTGTGATGCTGGAAGTTCTGCTGCATCTTCATGAGACCATCATCATGTTCATGGCACAGCTGGATTCAGAGCCCAGCTTTGAGCCCTTCACTCAAACTGCAGCCCCACTGTCCTTACCACCTAACTTATTCCTGGAGAGGGGAGTTTGAAGGCTGGACACCAGTTCAGACTGGTGGGACCATCTTGTTAGGGAGCAGGGGGACGACAAGGCTTGGCTCTGAAACTGCCATATGCGGAAGTGCATGTTCCAGGAGCTGTGTGCCTGGCTCACCCCTGCCCTACAATGTCAGGACACCCACTTGCGACCTGCCATCCCCCTGGAGAAGTGTGTCGCTATTGCTCTATGGAAGCTGGCCACCCCCGACAGCTACCGCTCGGAACACCAGTTTGGTGTGGGGAGGTCTACTGTTGGGGCCGTCTTGATGGAGGTAAGTCACTCTCTAGGGACAGTCCATAGTGGGGGAGGTGGATAAGGGGGACAGTCAGGACCGGGCAGAGGGAATGGGGTGGGAGTGGTAGAAGCCCTCCTGGCCTCTCACTGCTGTGGTGGGGGGGTGGGGAAGGAGGGTTGCCTGAGGGGGTGCTCTTGGGATCGGGGAGGGGTGAGGGAGCACCTCTCATCAGCTCAGGCAACTCCTCTAATTTCCTGTTATATGTGTTTCTATTTGTCCCTTTCTGCAGGTGGTGACGGCCATCAATTCGGAGCTGCGTCAAGGACTGTCCGCTTTGGAGACCTGGATACCATTGTGGCTGGATTTGCAGGGCTAGGATTTCTGAACTGCGGTGGAGCACTCAATGGGACTCACATCCTGATCCGCGCACTTCCCCATTGTGCAGCGCAGTATATTAACAGAAACGGCTACTTTTCCATGGTGCTGCAGGCCCTGGTTGGTCACCGGGGACAATTCACAGACGTTTGTGTCAGGTGGTCAGGCCAGGCACACAATGCCTGCATCTTCCAGAACTCATACCTGTACCGCAGGCTGGGACATTCTTTCCAGAGCAAAACTTTGCAGTCGGGAATGTGCAGATGCCTATGTCCATCGTGGCCGATGTGGAGTACCCCCTTATGCCCTGGCTCACGAAGCTGTTCACTGGGCACCTGGATTCGAGCAGGGAACTTTTTAACTCCCACCTGAATCAGACTCGCTTCCAGGTAAAGTGCGCCTTTGGCCATCTGAAGGGCAGGTTTAGATGCCTGCTCACTCGGCTGGACATGGGTGAACGCAACATCCCCAAAGTGATTGCTGCCTGTTGTGTGCTGCACAACCTGGGGGAGAGGAAAGGGGAGGCCTTCCTCCCTGTGTGGGGGACATGGGCTGATGTGGAGGGGAGGCTGTTTGAGCAGCCCTGGACAGCTGCCATCCTCCAAGCCCACCAATTGGGATTGTGTATTTGGGAAGCCTTGACGGAGAGATTCTCCCAAGGAGCCCGATGAGTTTCCGAAGGGCCTTCCAAATGTGGGTGTGCCCCATGCCCCCAGTGCCTTCCCCCCAAAACCTATCTCTGCCCCCCCGTTGTACACATTCACACAGAGAACAGAGATAGGTGTGCTTGACAAAATGCTTACAGTTTATTGCACTGTTGTATGTTACAAAACCTATATCACTGTTTTCTAAAGAAAAATAAACTTTTTGTTAACAATGTAAAGTGCTTCCCTTAGGGTATGTCTACACTGCTACCCTAGTTCGAACTAGGGTGGCTAATGTAGGCATTCGAACTTGCAAATGAAGCCCGGAATTTAAATATCCTGGGCTTTATTTGCATGTTCCCTGGTGCCACCATTTTTAAATGCCCCCTAGTTCAAAGTACCTACCCGCAGCTACATGCAGCACAGACTAGGTAGTTTGAATTAAAACTCCTAATTCAAACTACCGTTACTCCTCCTGCAATGATTCTAGCTTCTACTAGACTAGCAAAAAGACTCCTCACTTACTTACACCCACCAGCCCAACTCAGTTCACTCAACTATGGCAGGGGGGAGGCTTGTTCCTCTGAGACCTCTTACAATGAGGGTGTCTCTCCTGCAAACACTGGTGTCATATTTTACAGTTTCCACATTTAGGGCTGGCATGATTTGTGACCCCCACAACATCCCCAAATTAGTTACAATACACCACATTCCATTCCAACACTGATCATCCATCAGCCCTGGCTGAATTGGATTTACATAGCCACACCTTGTATTCCCTCCCCCTCCTGGCATGAGCTGTCTTTACATATCAAGTCAACAGTTAATTATCTTGCAGAGCTAAACAATTGGAGTGAGCACACTCACCCACAGGGCAGCTGTCTCCTTTTAGCTGGCTGATAGCAAGCAGTAGTTTAGCCCCTGCTTATAAATGCTCCACTGCTTCCCGTCCATCCCTACAGTGGTACCCCAGAAATACTGGTGCCCTAGGCAACTGCTTACTCTGCCTATGGCTAAGGACTGCCCTGCTCCTCCAACCAGAACTCCAAGAGGGCTTTGATCTCAGGCGCAGACTAGGAGGGTGCCTGGCATTTGGTGCCCTTGGCTTGGTGCGGGGATGTGTCCCTGGAAGGGCCAGGAGGGCTTTGGGGAACTTGTCCTTGGGACATGGCTCTGAGTGTGCCTTCCAGCAAGAGCCGAGAAGTCAGGATCCTGGTTGGAGCTGGCTTGCTGCCACAATGCTACTCCTGGGCGCCTGTGCCTTTAAAAGATGGCTACAGGCAGGAACAATGGCGGTGAAAGGTCTGGCAGGGGTGTCCACCAGGGCTTCTTCCTGGAAGCATTTACACACCCACACATACCTTTTTTTGACAGATCTCTGTTGAAAATAGCATTATTCCTCATAAAATGAGGTTTACTGCCATCAACAAAACTGCTGAGTTTTTTCGATTTACTGTTGACAGAACGCGGCAGCAGTCTAGACACAGGTAAATATTTTTTGAAAAAAGGCTACTTTTTTCGAAAAATCCCTGTAGTCTAGACACACCCTATGGGCAACCTCTCTTTCCTGCAAGGCACTGAGTGCCCTTGAAACTAGCCGGTAGCAGCCTGGGCACTGCACTCCACTTTTCTGTAGATATTGTGTTGTTCTCCAGCTTCTCAGATTTTGTACTTCTGAAAAGAAATCTCCAGTTGTCATGGTTGTGAAGAAAACCGCAGAAATGTGACCTTAACTGAAAATGTGGAGACCAGCTAGTTGAGTTTGTAGGAGCCTGGAACCACGGGGTGGGGCAAACTGTCCCATTCTTCCAGGGAAGTTGTTACTCAGAGGCCTAGTGATGATTTCAGTGTCAACATTGTTAATTATTTTATTGCAGCAGTAAGAAAGATGATATCAGAGACATGCACAAGCTGAAACAATTTGTGTAGCGGGGTGCTGAGAACCATTGAACCAAACTCTAAGTCCTGTATCTGATGGGAACCACTTCAAACCAGATGAAGTAGCACCTCTAATTCCCTCACCCGGGGGGTCTCATTTTACTACAACAGGTGGGTAGTGCTGAAGAGATACCACTATTTATCCATCCCCTCCCGCCCAGCCCAGGAAGTCAGCTTGTGGTTCTCCTCAAGCATAACCCAGGTGGAGCCCAGCAGAGCAGACAGCGGCATGGTCCTATATTGAACGGTACCACCTCCCTTGAGCCGAGCCTCGGATTGCCACGGGCATGGCCACAGTTTGCTTTGGGGGCAGAGCTCTCCCCACCCTCCTCAGTCTGAGCCCTCCCCCCCCCAGCCAAGCCACACGCTAGGCTCACGCCGCGGGGCGCCCTACAACGCAGCCCTGCAGCCTCCAGGGAAAGGGGGTGAGGGAGGAGGGTGCCCCCAAATCGCGCGCCCGCCACCCACACGCTCCTACACCGTCTGCGCGGACCGGACTCGCAAGGTGCCCCCCACCCCTAGGGGGGCGGGTCTGCCTGCAGCTCCAGTAGCGACTTGCAAGGCGGCGGACAGCTCCCCCCAGCCGGCCTGGGGAGCCTCTGCATCGCCCGCCCGGGCCCTGCAGTGGAAGGGAGGGGGCGGCACGTGGCCGCCCCGGCCGCTCCCCCAGCCGGCTTTATAAGCTGGGAGGCAGCGCCGCCGCGGATCACATCAGCGGGAGTTCCCGGGACCGCCTGCCCCGCTGGCCATGGGGTGCCTCGCTGCGCTGCTGCTCCTGGCGGTAGGTGTGGGGGTCGCCGCGCTTGCGAGGGGGACAGGGAGCCTCGTGGAGGGCGGGCAGGGGGAGGTCGGGAACCGCGCACTGGAGGAGGCTGGAGCTTTGCACAGGCAAGGGATGCGGGAGCGGGGGAGAAGATGAGCCGGTGTTAGGGGAAAACCCTTTGGAAATACCCATCTTTGCTCTTGAAACTGTTCTCCGGTCAACCCACCGGCTTCGCTGAGGCACCGATCTCAAAGAGGGGGGCTTGGCAACATTTGGGTTTTTACAACCATTTCATATTTTTAAGCGTTTGGGTTTTTAATCAGTTTCAGTTTTCTTTGTTGTGAGAAGTTAGGGAGCGGCCAGACACTAGTTATTTAATGACAACAGTTAAGAGTCAAAAAGTTATGGTTTTATAACCATTACAACGCGGGTGGTCAACAGAATATATCAACACATGCCAAGTAAAAACTATATCTTTCAATTCAATCCTAGAATGTTCTCCAACCAAAATTTTCTTACTTTGCTTATCTGTAAATATCAACCATCATGGAAGGAAATGTGTCAGTTTGTGTATGTTCTGTGACATCAACATTTGCCAAAAAAATCTAATCCTTCCAAGCCCACAAATAGGTTCTTGCATGCAAAATGTAACCAAACAAGATGGGGATACTCCCACAAGGTAAAACTATGGAAATGACACTTAAAAAGACCAGATACCATTCTCAGTCCCCAGTTCTAGAAAGACTTACACACCTGCTTTTCTTAGCTTTTTTAAGCATAATACTAGTCCCATTAAGTGCAGTGGAACTAGTGACACACATGAAGTTAAACATGTGTGAAAGGTTCTGCAGAACCTTATTTAAACACAAGAGCATACCAGAGAACCCACAGAATTGCAAAGTCAATTGATTATTTAATAAAAACATGTATATTTCACACCTGTTCATTTATGAACTACTAGAATTAATACAAAACCAGTATAAAGTGAAAAGACCTTGTTTACATAGATGTGCTCTTTTATGGCTACAGGCAGTCCCCGGGTTACGTACAAGATAGGGACTGTAGGTTTGTTCTTAAGTTGAATCTGTATGTAAGTTGGAACTGGCGTCCAGATTCAGCCGCTGCTGAAACTGACCGCCA